GAGCGCACTAAATTTCCGCGACGCGCGCGCTCGCTCCTATTAATTACCGCCTGATAATCTCGACTCTTGTAATTTACAATACGCCGGAGGACCCTCGATCGAAAAATCGCTTGCCCGCGACGAGCGAGTCGTTCCATTAATTGGCGCGGCCGCGAATGACTGATCGTTCTAATCAGTGACTAATTAACCCCCCGCGCGGGCTCCTTCCGTCACGTCGGCCGCGCGGAGAAAAAGAGGAACACCGTCTTCCGAATGATTGCGGATGTTTGCGAGTGTGTGTGTGTGTGTGTGTGTGTGAGAGTGCGCGTGTGTTTGAAATTTACGATTAATACCCGCGAGTACCCAAGGATATTAATAATTGATAATGATAATAGCAAAAATGTAGCGATAACGCGATCGATCTTAGCCGCCTGACGGAGAACGCACACTTTAGAAGAAGCCCCCGGGAGAAACGGGCAAAACGACGGAGGATCGATTCTCCTTGCCGGGGAAGAGCCTCCTCGTTGTGTTCCGAGATGAAGCAAAACAAAAAAAGAAAAGAAAAGAGAGAAGAAAAATAAGGAAAACAGAAAGATCCAACGTAAAAGCAAAGAGAAGACAGTCTTCGCGCGTGATCTCCCTCTTCGTACTCTTAATGTGTGTCGAGTGACCTCTCTCTCTCTCTCTCTTTCTCTCTCTCTCTCTCTCTTTCTCTCTCTTTCTCTATCTCTATCTCGTTTTTTTATTCCATTTTTAGTTTTTCAACTTGATCAATTGTGTACATGTGTTTACTCTTATATTGACTCAATGATGTTATTCTGTGGTGCTTTGCATGTCTCTATTGGACTCTGCATGTCGTATAGGGCATCGTAAGTACTTATACTAAATGAACTCATCAGAGAACTACGAATACACACGACACTCTTCAGACTGCGATCTGACCGTGCGACCGTCGGTGAGTCCGACGGTCCCCGCGAGTCCACCGAGTCCATGGACGCGCCAGGCATGCCGGCGGGCCTTCCCCGCCGGAGATGCGCGGGTCCTTGGCTCTTTAGATTCGCTCGACCCCCTGGACGCTGAAATTTCCCCGGGGATCTCCGAGGGACCGTCGTCGTCCCTCGGGGGATCCCTCGTATCCCCGAACTCGGGGATCGGGGGATCAGGAGTCCTCGGATTCCGGCGTCCGGGGATATTGCGAATCGTTTGATCCTTGAATATTTAGATCCTTGTACACAAGTAGTAGAAGCTACGATCGCGCGCGCCGTACGACGGCGACGTCCGGCCATTTACATGAAAATGCGATCGAGGGAATCTCGTTCCGCTGATCCGTTCTAAAACGCGCGACGCGAAGGTCCGAGTGAAATAAAGGCAATATCGGCCGCGATAAAGCCCGTCGGGGAATAAATAAGGCGGACGGAATAAAATGACAAAGGGTGGCATCGAAGCGACGCGCGGAAGCGAATCCTCGCGATATTCCCGATCTCTGTCGAATCTCAAGCGACGATCAACGATCGGGGCGCACCCGAGGTGCGATTAGAGGCCTGCGCGAAAATGATTGTCGCGGGATCATCGGGGATATCTCGATTACGTGCACGCGCGCTTCCGCGAGCACAGAGATGTATTTCCGCTCCGGAACGAAACTCCGCCGCCGACACGTATACAACTTCACGGTTCGATGCTCTGAATACAAAAGAACGCGGGGGTTGGCGACGCAGCAAGAGCGGAGGAACGAGCCTTCGCCGATCGATACTATTTCAAGTCGCTGGAGGAAAGAGAAAAAGAGAGAGAGAGAGAAGACAAGAAAGAGCTCTCTTCTTCTCCTCTTGATCTTCCGCCACGGGCGAGGCCCGTCGCGAGCGCTCTCGCCCGCGCGTACATTTTTATTAATTTAACTCCAGGCGTAGGCAACCCCTAGCAGTAGCAATGTATCGTTATTAAACTCGCCCCTGTCTCCCCTCTCCCATTCAGAGATAGCCCCGACTAACGACCGTCGATCGACTTCCGTTACGAATTTGCCAGCCCCGCTTCCTCGCGCCGCCTTTCTTCTTCTCCTTCCTCCACTTCCGTCGCTCTATTTTTTTCTCCCTTCTCTGTCAATATTTTTCTCCCGCGCAACGCTTCAGATGCCCAGTTAATCCCCCTTTTCGTTACTTCCCGGCTTTCCCATCGGCCTCGAACCCGCAAAAGAGAGATTAACGAGGGACGAGCGAAAAGAACGAAAGGGAGAGTGGTAGGAAGGCGAAATAAATAGGTGGAGGAGGACGAGGAGGCGCGGCGAAGAGAGCGATCTGTGCCACGAAGGAAATGCCGACGGCATTCGACGGTCACGGGAGAAATGACTTCCGTGGATTTTTCGTGCGGAGCGCGTAACCTCACTCCGATGTTGTTGTTCTAAGCCGGGGCTGCATAAATCCCATTCTTTTGGTAACATCACCCCGGACGGCCATCGGAACGTTGTACGCGCGTGTAATTTGGCACCGGCGCGTGCCGGTCGAAAATGCGGCAATCAAAGCGGCGAATTTTCCCGAGCTTTTCCGCGCCACCACCGTCATTAATTTCGATACGAAGAATTCTCTCGCGTTTATTAGCGAATCGATAAACGGAGTCTGAGTAAATTGCACAAGACGAGAAGTTCCGTCGGGCAAAAAGGCGGAGACCTTCTACCTCGCGTGGGAATTTAAGTAAAGCGTCTCTTTGAAAACGAAGAAGAAAGGGAGGGAGGGAGAGCGGCGTCGAGCAAAAAATTATAGGGTGTATCGAAACTAATGGACGGCAGTGTAAATTTTCAACTATTTCCTTTGACTGCGCTTCGTTCCACCGCTTCGACGTTATAATGATTACGCGATCTTTCGCGTTGACGCGAAAAATTGCACGCTCTCTTCGGTTTGAACGCGGAAAATCTCTCTCTCTCTCTCTCTCATCGTTCGCGTGAATCGAGAAAAATGCCGGAAAATAGTTTTTCCGACGCGACGATCGCGTCGTTTTCGCACCTCCGTCCAGCCAACCAGCTATTTCGCGCACGAAGGCCTCTCTTTTGCGCTCCTTTTCGTTCGGTCCCTCTCATTAAGGTCGTCCATAAACACCGAGAACCACGTCGAAGCTGCAAGCGTCGTGAATACCCAACCGTAGCCTCGTTAATTACCTTTCCGCCTCGTTTTCCGCGTCTCCTTCTTTATTCTTCTTATTTATTCTTCCCGTTGTAATCCGACCGCGCGACGGAAGTTGCGCGAACGCAGAGCCTGTCCGTTTGAACTCTCGTGTTAATTCCAACCGCCTCTCGAAATGTCCCAAATCCACCGTGATCTTTCGCACGATATCTCGCCGAAAGGGTGGATCCCGCGACAATGGAGCGTAAGACCTTCTCGTGCTGCTCTCACGAAGATCCTAAAAAAAAAGAGATCGCCCGCGGTATCTCGGCGTGTCCCTATGTGTGCGTAGCTTCAACGGTGGTTGGCGTTGACGCGTCGCAGACCTCGCGTCGTCATTAATGCCGTCCTCGGCTTCCTGCACAGAATCCTCGCGACTCGTCGCGCGACCTGTGCGTTAAAAGCCGACACTCGGTCGAGAGATTCGGCGAGGTTAATCGGACGGGATTAATTTCCACAGAGAGAGATTAATATCCGACGAGATTAATTTTCCTAATTCCGCCGGTGCATCGAGTCACGTGCATTACGCTGCACATAGCGTATTTCGTCACTTCCATCCCTTAATCATATCGGTGACCCAATTGTTTCAAAATTGCCCTTTTATCTCCCTCGTTTTTGCTTTTAATTTTTTTAAGCAGTCCCCGAAAATTTAATCACGCCGCGCGACCTGCGCAGGATCCGTGCAAGAAGGCGCAATCGGCGCTCGAGCGATCCCGAGGCACGTAAATTATGTGTGTCACGTAACGTTGCCGCTTCCGTGGACCACTAACGGTCACGTCCCAGTCACGCTTTCTTTTCGCTCGCACCTTGTCTCCTGCGTCCGTGAGTAATTCATTTCGCCTCTTGCTCGCGGCGCGAGTTACACCGAGCTTCGTTACGCCCGGGCTTAATTGCGACGGTTCCATTCTCGACGGCCGAGCCAACTGAATTTCAAGTATTTTGCTTTTCAGGCAATCTCTCTCTCTCTCTCTCTCTCTCTTCGTCTCGCTCTCTCGAGAATCTCTTAACCTCTCGACGGAGGATCGTCACCTTCGCTGGGGAAAGTTTTATTTTTCCGAATCTCCTGCAAATTTCTCTCTCTCTCTTTCGCGTACGACGCGGTGTAACAATCAATCTTACTATTCGCGAGCGCGCGAACTCTCGATCTGGATTTCCGGAACCGAACGACGAATCGTTCACGCCGACGCGAATCGGGAATTCCCCGGCGCGGCTGACTCGCCGAAAATAGCGGACGATATCGAGTCGTCGCATCGTTTATGAGAATCAATTTCCGGGAACTCGCGGAAACGCGTGGCCGCACGCGCGACGACGCAGCACGAAGCTCGGCGGCTCGCCTCGCGACTTGCTCCCTTAATCGCCCAACTTTTCTGCATCCTCTCGCCCGCCCGACCTCCCGCCCCGACCCCGCCGACACCCCTATTATTTTTCTCGCTTTCCGTGTCTCGCCGTAGTGAGTTAATGGCGTCCGGATTCGGATGAGCGCGGCTCATGCAAATTCCGTTACACCATAATCCGAACGCGAGAAACGGGGGGGGGGGGGGAGGCCCCCCTTCGCGGCTGATTAACGCGTAATGGAACGTTGATGACTTCGGCCGAACTCGAACGCCGTCGGCTCCGCCCTTGTCACGACGCAATCGACGCGGTCGTTTGTGTTTGTCCTTTTTGCTTTTCTTTTTCTGTGTTTCCTTTTTTTTCTTCTCAAGCTGCGTTCTCCCCTTTGTCGCCCCCCACCCTCTCCTGCCTTTCTTTCTCTACGTTTTCTCTCGCTTCTCTCTCGTTTTGTGTCTCGTCTTTCACGTCGACGGCACCTCGCCGGCGACGAGGCGCTGCGTGCACTGCGTGACCGATCGACAGAAATCTCTTCTCTCCGTGTAGGAAAAGGAGGACGGGCCGGTGTACAAGTTTTACGAGACCATCCGCGATTTCGGGGACGACATCATGAGCACCATTAGTCACTTGCGCGACGTAACCCTCTTCGCGCCCAGCAACGCCGCGCTGGAGGAGCCGGGCGTGAAGCAGATCCTGCAGGATAAAAAGCGCGTCAAGGAGATCCTCAACCTGCACTACGTCAAGGAACGATTACCTCTCGAGAAGATCAAAGACAAGACCATCACCCAGGTAAGTCGGTTTTTCTCTCGTCACTCGCGCATGACGCGATATATAAAGAATCTTCGTAAATGTAATATAATAGAACTCTGCGCGACGTTCTCATCGAGAGAATCCGGATCCAATTAGTCATTTGAAGCTTGTCTGACGCGAGACAAATGTTTCACGCGGTAATCGATATCGGGACCTTAGATTTTCATTATTTGCAGTATCTCGCTCGCCTCCGTTATTATTCGCGCGCATCTCTCATTAAAAGCGCGGCTTCGCAAAATACGCGTTCAATCCTCTCGGCGTAAGCTAAGCTCGCTAATGGTACGATATGCGAGATTCAATAATCGCGGTATCTTTCGAGGATCCTTTTTCTCTCCGACGTGGTAGACAATGGACGTCGCTCTTTGTTTCAAGTAAATCTCTTTCTCCGCGTGCTCCGCTGTGAACGCGACACGTACGTCACAGCGATCGCGCACACATGCGTGATACTGTTCACGTCTGATTAACCGAACGCTTCTTTTTGTTTTTTCCAAAGAAACCATCGGTTGGGAGGCAACACGCCGGGGTAATTACAGATTCATTAACAGCTTTCAATGTGTTTCTTTTTTTCTTTCTATCTCTTCCTCTGTGAACATCTCTGTCTCTATCTCTATCTGTGCGCAAACTATTCGCAAACTCTGTATGCATCCATTTGCACGTCGCTTTCAGTGCGTTTTTCGATGTTGAGCGTATTACGAGCGCGCGAAACGATTGCGAGCTAACATTTCCAGCGCACCGACACGCGCCGCGCCGGGCATTCGGCAATCGATAGCGTCAATAAATCTCGGGCCCGCCAATAGCTTTGGTAATCGAACGCCAAAGAGATTTCTATTCTTGCCGCGATACGCCACGGCACACGGGGTGGCCGGAAAGTCGCGACGCGCGAACTTCGGGCTGAAATTCGACGTTCGACGGCGCGTGTGTGTGTGTGTGTGTGTGTTACCTCGCGATCAAGAAGCGCTTGAGTACCGCTCGTCGGGAATACTTGCGCTTATTACGGACGTTCGTGCGTGCGATTCGCACGCACGCGTCCGACACGAGGAGGAGGCGGACCATCTAGCGACACCCGGTATGTCGGGAATCGTTTGTTCGCACCTCGAAAGTGCGGAAAGCTTCGACAGCCGCTGCGGAATGGATTTCTGCCGTTTCGTCAGCCGACGGCGATGCGTGTTGCGATAATTGCGTATTTCGCGGAGGGGGCCGAGGTTCCGACGACGACGACGCAGCCGAACGAAAGTGAACTCACCTGGACGGGCGTGATAAGAAAACTCGGCTTCCTCGGATTAAGTGGATTGGAAGATAAAAGTTGCACGGGAAGAACGGGGGGAGAGCGAGAGAGACGTCTAACGTCATAACAACGTGCCGGGGCTGTTCCGCTCTTAAACTTTGCTCGCTCTCGGAGTCTCGTCGCCGTCGGTTGGTTCGTTTTCGCACTTCTCTCGCAGGCTCATTATCATCCAATCAGCATGGCGGAACTTTTCGTCGGAATAACAAAAAGCTCCCGGCAATTTCCCGCCAGTTTCTCCCTTCCGCCTCCAGTCTCTTCCCTCTCACGCGCCGCTTTTCCCGCCCGCTTATTTTTACAGCGCAGACGGCGAGAGGGGACGTCTTCACTCGCGCGATATTGCTGAACGCTCCGATTCCGTCATTCGTGGGGATGAGGGGAAGAGAGCCGTCTGCGCGATCGCAACCGGCTAATTATTCGTTCCGGGATCGTTTTGACGTCGTCAGCGAGGAATCCGCCGGGCATGCCGACAACTCTCGCAGCCGTTCTTTCCGTCGGCGCGAACAGGCGACACACACATACACACACACACACACATATACTCGATAACGAGAATCGCCGCCGCACGATGTCGTTATCGCTTTTCGCCGATTCGCTCTCGAGAGTCGCGGCTTTTTCCAGCCGAAACGTCTCGTTAGCGCACGCGAGAACTCAATTACCGCGCGCGGCCGACGACCGCGCGCGGGGATATATCGCGATCTCGCGATGCGCCGGTTAAATCAACGGGAGAATCAAGTCGATCGCTCACGCGCATCGTATTCGGCCGACGTGCTCGGTACGCGCAGTGCGTGCGTGCGTTCGTGTTCGTGCAATTTGTTATATTAATCTTATCGTTATTAACGGCACGGATCGCCGGCGGGAGCGCGTAATGGAAAAATATCCGGCGAACCGGCGTTAAAACGTCGCAGAGGGCGGAGAGAGTTAGAGAGAGGGGGGGGGGGGGGGNGGGGGGGGGGGGGAGGGACGCGCACGCAATGCGTGACCGGCGACGAGCGCGAGTGAGAGAAGAAATGGAAGCGTGCTCGAATAATTCCTCGCGGAAAACCGATAAATTCCTTCCCGAATCGCTCTCGAATGGATTCGAACAAGTTTATTGGCTCTGCAACATTGTTTGCAGATTTGTCGGTTATCTATACGCACCGGCGAATTTATAGGATGTCGGCGCGAGTCGCGTCGTCGCAAATCCCACGCGGTGAAAAATCATAGCCGGCCGATTGCTTCTAACAGAATCGCAGAAAGCGGGCGCGAACGAGGGCGGGAGGGGGTGGCAGGGACAGGCGGTGAGAAACAAAAGCGGGCGGGAAAATTCCGGGCAAATCGCATCACGCGAATGTTTCGGCCGGAAAATACGCGTCACGCCGGCCGACGAAAATTCCCGCGCGAATCCGAGTCGCGCGCGCGATTCCCGCGTATTCGATTCTACGTGAATTCGCTCCCCCTCCTTCCTCCACCGTCCTCCCGCCTCTCCTCCTCCTCTTGCACCGAGATAGAGGTTATCGGCGTGATGGGAAAAATATCTTCGCTATTCTCGCGAGATATTTTCACCCCAATTATTCCCATCGTGGCTCTCTCCCTTTTCCCACTTTCGTTGCTCTTCCCTTCCTCTAACTCTTTTTCTCAAAGTGAAGACCGCGCTCGTAAAAACGAGGATAATCGGATATTACCTCCCCCCCCCCC